AACTTTTTATTTCTAGTAGGGGTGGTTCCCCTCCACTCAGACTTCACACATCCAAGTTCTACTCAGAGCCCACGTGCATGTGTCACGGACTTCTCAAACCTGGTGGAAAAGTCATCTCGCAGAGGCTGAGAATGTACCTCAGTGGTACAGCACTTGCCTAGGAGGTGGGACCCTGGGTTTAATGCCCAGCTCCTCACACTCAGAGACAAATAGTCAAGCTTGGGCGGTGCACAGAGAACCTCAGCTCCCACCGACACACATCCCAGCCATCACTTCTGGATGGGACAGGGTCTGCTCAGACCTCCTCCACAGAGAACCACCACCGAAGCAAGCTGCCAGGGGAAACCTTTGACACTTTTTTTTTCCCCCCACAACAGAGTTCTCCTGCTGCCATCCACTGAAGGTCCAGAGGACAGCATTCAGCTCACACCCATTTCTCTAGAGACCAAGGTTAGCTGGGCAAGATGGTACACACCTGTAATTAGAGGCAGGAGGCTCACAAATTTGAAGCTGCCTTGATTTACACAGTGAGTTTAAGTCCAGCCTGACCAACTGTCTCACAGTAAAACTTTTTTAAAGGCCTGGGGCTGTAGCTCAGTGGTACAGCATTTCCCTAGCATCCATGGGTTCGATAAGTTACGTTTATCCATTAAAGAAATTGAAAAATATATTAATGGACAAATACATACTCAAATAAAAATATTAAAAAACACCAAGTCCACTTACAAGACCATTTTTCAAATCACTTAGAAGACCATATCTGAAACATGTGGAAACCTGTGGAAACACGCTGGCCTGTTGAAAGGAACTCAACTCAACCATGACTATGGCTAGGCAGAACTGTGACCAGGGCCAGTTTCTCAGTGACTACAATGATGTCCCCAGCCCCACGCACCACATCCTGCCACTGTCTCAGACCCTCAGACCCACTATCCAAAGGGGCCTAGCCTACTCCAAAGCACCAAAGTGGGGGGCCCCACATGCCAAAAAGATGACCTGTGGACATCCTGGCTCCCCAATGATTTTCCCGACCTTCATCGGCTTTGTAAAGCTTCATACATGGCACTCCAGGCAGCCAGACATCAGTAAACCACGTTCCTTTCTCCCGTTAGCTGGGTTTCGGGTTTTCCACTAATTCGTTTTTCTTTTTCCATAATTCCAAGTTAACAATCCTGAGATTTATCTATGGTTCTTCAGGGCCATCTCCCTCTTGCCCACAGCTTGAGCTCCTGACTAATTATCAGTGGATGAGAAGGTCCCAGGAAGTGAGGCCAGAGGCCTCAGGAAAAGTAAGCAATTCTTGATGTCTCATGCTATGGTCACAATGCGGCAAACACTGCTTTCGTGGACCGTTACCTCTTTCCTTCTGAGTTTTACGGCCGCCTCTGCCGTAACTTCAGACAAATCTAGTGTTCCTCTTCACATTCGCTCCTCTCTGCTCCAGTAAAAGGCCTCTTACATTTTTCTGTCTTACTGCCCTGCTCTCAATTGACACCTTTATCTCAAGAAGGCCAGTGCTTCTAAAGCTAGTCCCTTATTGCTGGAGTAAGAAGCACAGGCGGTTTCCTCCTGTAAGGGGAACTTTCTAATTATCTACATGACAACAAGTCTCTTTAACCACTTCATCTCCAAACTGGACACAGCAGAGTTGGGATCCTGACTGTTCAGGCTTTCGTTCCCTGATGGGGCATGCTCACTTAAAAACAGACAGACTTCTTCATTCCTTCCTTCCTTCCCTCCCTCCCTCCCTCACTCACTCACTCACTCACTCACTCACTCACTCACTCAACAAAGAGCAAAGAGAGGCTGTCCGAGCAGACTGAAAAGGAACGTGGCTTGTGTGCTTTCTCTTGAGGAGCGCGCTGGCCCAAAGGCGGCACCACGGAGAATATGGATGTTACGAAACAGGGAGGGCACAATCTGCTCTAAACACAGCGATCGAGTATCAATAAAAATGAAAGCACAGCCATCACTGTGCACTTCCGTTTCTTCATGTCCGACAACCTAGTTTCCATGACCTAAACGTCCTATATCCACGGAAGCTATTATTGGATTTTAGGGGAGTAAATAAAGCAGCATTTGCTCGGCTTTTTTGTTTTGCTTTTGCTTCTGTGGACAGGGGTTCTTGCCCAGCTTTTAAAGATTTAATACCAAACGTGAAGATGAGGTCATAGTTCTGATTCTCATTTTCTTTAGCTTTAGCAAAGAAACCCTTGGCCTGGAAGATAGCTCAGGAGGTACAGGCACCCTATCCTACTCTAGGCTGCTGAGTTGAGCTCAATCCCTAGAATCCATGACAAGGTTAAAGGAGAGAAGCAGCTCTGCAGCTCTACGAAGTCCTCTGACCTTCACACCCACATCGTGGCCTTCCCCTCCCCGTGCAACAAACATAATAGAATTTTAAAAGTCTTCCTCCATAGTCACACTATTTAGGAAAGGAACATCTCCTTCCATTTAGTACAAGGGACTCCATAGTCACACTATTTAGGAAAGGAACGTCTCCTTCCATTTATTACAAGGTAATCACGAAAATGTCTGGGCCAGTCCCTTCCGTGTCACTCAGGACTGCCCTGATTGCCCCTTCCGGGCTCCACTGTTTTCGTCTAGCTTTCCTAAACTAAAAGAGGATGCTTAAGTATAATTCACTTATAAATGGGCTCTGGAAATGCAGCCAGGGAAGACCTACCCATCAACTCGGCATAACTGTTGGGGAGAAGGTTAAAACTGAAGTTGAGGAATTGTGTATTTCAAAGTGCTTTGGTTCATTAAACACTTTGGTTTGGTTTTTTTTGTTTGTTTGTTTGTTTGTTTGTTTTATTTCAGCCGTATCAGAATTATTTGCATTGCTACTACAGAAGCCCAGATCTACTGTATTAAAAAATGTTTTACTGTGCTACTTTTCCCCCAAAAGATGAATGTACTTTGATTTTTAAAGCAAGACTCTTTGTGAAACAACTATTTATTGTACAGAACTTCACTTCATTAAGAAAAAAAAAAACATGTGGACTTGAAACACATTTAAAGCATCCCTGGGCACTGGGGTATCTTCTCAAAGCCCTTGCTCAGCATCAGCAACGATCCCTGGGGTTTCAGCCTTGCATGTCACGCTGTTCCTCAACAACATAACATCTGGAGACTGGAGAGATGGCTTATCCGTTAAGAGCACTGCCTGCTCTTCCAGAGGACCCAGGATTGACTTCCAGAATCTACATGTTAGCTCAAAACCACGCACAACTCCAGTTCCAGGGGATCTAATACCCTCTTCCTGCCTTTGGGCATCAGGCACACATGTGGTACACATACATGCATGCACGCAAAACACACACATGAATTCTTCTTAATTAAAAAAGATAAAAAGAAAATAACATTTGAGGACAGAAGTCTACTGTTACCACAAGTATTCAGAAAGGGGGAAAATTGTGTTAAGAATAAACCAACTCAAAAGAGGTTTTTGATATCTGGTATGGGAATTTTTGTTAGGTGGTCTTTGGCTCTTGGAGGAGTGCATCAGCTCACATGAGGTAAGTTCATGAAAGCTATGTATGTCTTTATACACAGAATGACATGCAGTTTTTGTTTTAGGAAACAGTTTATAGTATGAGTCCGTGTGGCTTTTCCAGTCATCCATGCTGCTATTTTACCTCCCTCCCCCCCCCCCCCACTTCTGTAAGGATCCCTCCATTTCCCCTGTACAAATACACAAATGCACACAGTACACCTGATGACGAAGTAGCCATGAAACTGAAGCAGAGTAGGGAGGGGTATGTGAAGGAGGGATTGGAGGGGGGAAGGGGAAGGGAGAACTGTTGTAACTAAAATACAATCTGAAAAGTAAACAAACAAAAAGATACTTAAAAGAAAATGAAGCTATAAAAAAAGAACAAAGTAAAACCAATTTGTAGCTGAATTCTTTAAGAATGTTCATCTGGAGAAAAGTAATCACCAATCTCATCTGGCTGTAGACCCTGGGAGTTTCATTAATGACCTGCCTGGTAAGGTAGTTCCAGTTAGTCCAATAGCAGTACAAGTGTTAAGGGAGAAACCAATCCCTTTCCGCTTGGCTTTAGGGCCCATACCACAAAAATAGGACCCACACTTAACACTGTCAACAAGACCAAGAACTTACGGCTAGACAGCTCATGGGCCCTAGAGAAAGCCTACTATTACTCTACAATGGACATAGTATTAAAACAACTCCTAACGACTTACCGCTACACTGTCAATCAACACATCTCTCCACCCTCAGCAGAGAAGCTTCTTCTTGCAGTAGACGTTAATTACTACAGAGGCCCACAACTGGTCACCATGCAGAGATTAGGAGATTTTAGAGTGTTCAACCCTAAATGGGACATCTATATCACATCCTTTCTCCTCAAGGATCAGGGGTCTAAGTGGAAGAGTTTAAGAGCCAGAAGTGGAGGGTGACTTGAGGAAACACTGCTTTCCAGATGTAAGAGGGCAATTCCACGTATGAACACACAGCAACTGTGATGCACAAGACCTGTGCAAGCTCCAGCCAGCAAAATCCCGCATGGAGGAAGTGTGCATGCGCGCAGGGGATACACACACACACACACACACACACACACACACACACACACACACACGGACACGGACACACGGACACACGGACACACACGGACACACAGCCCCACCCCAGCTAAGAAGTTATTGGTATTTGATTGCTGCTTGGAGAAGGAAAGTCAGATGTCTTTAGAGATGTGCTGCCTGGTTTATCAACCAGATGTGCCCTGGTTTATCCAGGGCAGGTCATAACACAAACTGGACTCTGTGGGGGAGGGGAGGAGGGCGGGAGAGAGAGAAGGAGAAGAAGTTGGATGGATACGAAGGTGGGAGATCTGGGAGGGGCTGTATGATAGTCTCACAGAATTAATAATAATCTAAAAATCTCCCAAAGCTCCCATGAGCCACAGCCACAGAAAACTACTTCTCTCCTGCTAGGCATCATCTCAATTCCAGATACCCACCACAGAACCTACCGCTTGCTTTGGCTTCTGAGTAGGAGGGGCCGTCCTCAAAGGTGAAGATCTGGGACATGCTCTGGCCCAGGTAGGAGGGAGGCCCGTAGTATGAGTGCATCCTGTACTGGGAGCTCACCGGGTGGCGGCTCTCTGAGGTCTTCATCTGCTTAAGAAAAATTAAAGAACATCTTTGTTATGGTTTGAATGTGAAATGCCCCCCCCCTCCCCACAGGATCTCACGCCCAAAGCCTGGTCCCCATCGCACGGTGCTAACTTGAGAAATTCTGGGAACATTAGGAGACGGGACCTAACTGGAGGAAGTAGGTTGGGGAGGGCAGACTCTAGAGGACAGTTTGTCTTGGACCCTCCAGTGTCTGTCTGTTCATTCTGTGTCCCACACGATGCGCTGCTTTGCTCTGTCACACACTCCATACCTCAATTTCAGCATGTCAGAGAAGCTCTGCACCTCATATATCAAGGGAGGGTCTTTCACTTAAACCTGGAGTTCACCAGTTCAGCTACTCCAACTGGCCAGCTTGCTCCAGGGATCTCATCTCCACCTCTTGATGACTGCATGTGGGTGCGCAGGCCTGCCCCATATGGATACAGATGCTGGGCATCTGAACTCTGAACCTCTCACCAGCATGGTAAGTACTCTACCCACTGAACTGTATCTTCAGCCCTTCTAAGACTGGGAGGGGGTGTGATGGATTCTGTTAAGTGCTTCAGCAGAACTCCAGCCCCCTTCAAACTAAAGCTGCAGGCTTCCCAAGAGCCGGTTACACAGTCTGAGAAAGGAGCATGGGCGTTAACAGTCCGGGGCTGACTTTAAGCACAGATGTCCATGTGAACAATGGGCTCCTTGCTCTGGGTGCTGAGACAGTCACATTCCCTCGGGTTTGACAGCATCGACAAGTCAGTTCTTCAAGGAAAAACGCAGTCGAATATTATTTTAAAGTGTGTTACTTTTGCTTATGTGGCATTTGTTTAATTCTGTTATGCTGTTATGATAGTTATAGTTGGAAGTTTTTCTTAGTTATGATAGAAAGTAAATTCTGTATGAAACTTTGGAGTCACTAAAATGGATGGGTAGTAGAGTGCTTTCTCTCAATTTGCTAAATGTAAATGGACTGAATATTGTAAATTAATTCTTACTTGATAACTAACTACTATGTTTAAATTAAAACCCTTTTCGGTTTTTTTAGACAAAAGCAGGGAAATGTAGAATATTATTTTAAAGCATGTTACTTTTGTTTATGTTGCATTTGTTTAACTCTGTGAAGCTATGTTACTGTGCCTGTCTAAAATGACCGATGGTCTAATAAAGAACTGAATGGCCAATAGCAAGGTAGGAGAAAAGCTGGTGTGGCTGGCAGGCAGAGAGAATATGTATATAGAAGGAGAAATCTGGGAGGAGAGAGCTAGCGGACAGAGAAGGAGGAGGACTCCAGGGGCCAGCCACCCAGCTACACAGCAAGCCACGGAGGAAGAGTAAGATTTACAGAGTAAGAGAACAGGAAAAGCCCAGAGGCAAAAGGTAGACGGGATAATTTAAGTTAAGAAAAGCTGGCAAGAAACTAAGCCAAGCTAAGACCGGGCATTCATAAGTAAAAATAAGCCTCCTTGTGTGATTTATTTGGGGGATGAGTGGTAGGTCCCCCTCAAAAGAGTAAAAAAGCAACAACAGAAAATAGCTTTCAGTATCTCCTGTGTACAAAGTTAATGGGACTTGAGCCCACAAGCTCTGCAAAATGCTGCATTTTTTTCTTTTGCTGTGGAAGTACATACAAATACTGAAATAGTTACTATTCACCATGACTTCAGAGCAACAGTCAGCCAGCATTTTACTATAAATGGCTCAACAGTAACTAATTGAGGGTTTGCCATGGTGTCTCTAGGCAACAGCAAATGAATGGACTCTGCCCCAATAAAACTTTATTTACGAATAGTGTGGACAAGTTCTCCATCTTGACTCTCACTGGAATAAAGGAAGGAACTGATGTCTTGGCTCCACTCCTTAGAAATCTAATTCAACTGGTCTGGGATGTGGCCTGGACCCTGGGTCTTTCCAAAGCTCCTTAGGTAACTCTAACATGTCATCCAAACTGTGGCTTAATATACTCTAAAAATTACCAACATGTATCCATACACCAGAGAAGAACAAGATCCCATGTATTAAAAACAGTTCAAAAGGTCAAGTCCGACAAGCAGATTGGCCAACAACTGCCATCCCAGCATGCACACTGCCCAGAAAGCTATGCAGTCAAATGGCACTCTTTCAAACAGAAAATAAGCACTGTTTCAAAACATACATACTCTTATTGTCCCCCATTTAATTCTTCATCTTTCCAGAAAGCATAAAAAACTGTGATTACTTAGAACTTGGAATTGAGTTATTTGTATTCAGTTTCCCAACGCCTCTCTGATACCACAACACAAGACTTCCAGCAGCAGAAGAAAAAAAGGATACAAAAGGCCAAACTCCATTTGAGGTTATTAAAATGTGAGTTTACTGAGGTCATCAGTCACTTCAGCTACATCCAACTCAAAGAATAATGCTTAAGGGCTGGAGAGGTGGCGCAGCCCTTAGAGGCTAGACTCAGAAAGAAAACTGAGACCACTATAATAATCATCTACTCACAGCACAGGAGGAAGGTGTCTCTAAGAAAACAGAACCCACTTAAACACAAAGTTAAAACTGAGTTGATGTCCACCCTAAAAGGCCTGGGAGTAACTCCAGGTCACCTCCTGCTCCCTTCTAATTTTAAATAGACGAGATGGACAGATGACAGACAACACAATCCTGCTACTCTGACCTTAGACAAGATGGGTGGATAATGAAGCCTTTGATATTTGTTTGATCTTAAAACCAGTACTTTTCATTTGGGGACAACCTTGTCCCTACGGGGAGATTTGATATCTGGAAACATGTTCAACTGTCACACCCGGAAGCAAAGACGGTTGCTACTGGCATCTAGAGATAAAGACCAGCGACACTGCTATACTCCCACGGGGCCCACGGCAGTCCCCCTGACAATCAAGTATTCACCCCAACACCACAACTGTGCCAAGGTTGGGGGACCTGTTTCAAACTAATCTAATATCCTGAAGGCCCTTTCCTCACTTCTGGGTGAAAGACAGTGGTAAGTGGAGGGACTACTCAGTTATGTTAATGGCTGCTTTTCTTCTCTCTTTCTCTCTCTCTCTCTCTCTCTCTCTCTCTCTCTCTCTCTCTCTCTCCCTCCCTCCCTCCCTCTCTCCCTCCCTCCCTCCCTCCCGTTATGCAATACTAATTTGTTTCTTTGAGATTTTATTTTTGTTCCTTTATATTAAAACAAATACACAAACCAAGCAAAACCTAAAACATTCAAGATTCTAGTGAATTATGTCTGTTATTATTATTAGCATGTGGTGGCTGGCATGCAAGCGACATGTTTTATAATCTTATTACCCACCCCAGTCTCTAAACTGGAGTGTGACCCACAGACGGGAGCCGAGCAGGCAGCAAACACACGTACTGTTAGTATTAACTCCAGAGGAAACCTTGAAGCTTGGGGTTTTGTTGTACTGAACTGCTGAGAAAATGCATGGTGATAAATCTGACCCACAGGCCTTAAACCACCGTCTCATTTCCTCTTTAAAAATTCTCAAATCCTATCTGCCGTCTGTCTAGTACAGTTTCAGATAGAAGTGTCCGATCTTAAGAGAAAGCTGAACTCTCCTCCCAGATGAAGGATGTAAAAGGAGTACTCTGGCTGGCAGTAAGCCAGCTCACAGGGAAGCTGTGGCTTAAAGAGAACAGTGTTCCCAAGAGTCCTCCACAGATCAACACAACTAACTGCAGGGATTACCAGACCCTGAGACAAACTTGGATTAAAATCTTTCAAGCCCCTCAAACCCCGTCTGAGGTGAACCTTTAGTTTTCTGATCAGAAACGCTTCTATGGTAAAGGCAGAACTCTTCACAGACTGGAACCCCAGGTCTCCAGGGCAGAGGGTAAAGGCTGAGATCAACATCTGCCATCCTTAGCTGGGCGGTGGTGACACAGGCCTTAATCCCAGCCCTCGGGAGGCAAAGGCAGGCGGATCTCTGAGAGTTCGAGGCCAACCTGAGCTACAGAGTGAGTTCTAGGAAAGGCTCCAAAGCTATACAGAGAAAACTCTGTCTCGAAAAACAAAACAAAACATCTGCCATCCTTAAAACCATTTCTTTGGTTTGCAATGCCTATTCCCAGGTTCACCTAGCCATGCACCTGAGCCAGGGCAGACCTCATCTGTGCAGAGAGCTTCGTCAGAGAGCCCCTTTTGCCCACTGAGACACATACCTATTCATTTTCCACACTGCATGCTGCCCTTTGCAAACACTTATTCTTAATGTATAAGCTAAGTGCCTGCTATTATGCACGTGTCTCAGAGATACCAGAACAACAAAAGATCAAATGCCAAGTCCTGTGATGCTGGCACTGTCCCCTCGACTGTGATCCAAGGCTCCTACTGCCTGTCTCCACCCAGCCCTCAAGATCCTCTAAGTTTGTGCCTTCCTCTCTATGTTCTCACTACCTTCTCTAATGTGGCCACATAGTGAATGACCCAGAAGAGAAAAGGAGAGGGAGAGGAAGGGACAGAAAGAGAGGGGCACAGAGGAGGGGGGAGGAGAGGAGAGGCCTTTGGCAGGACCCAGATGCCTGTGAGGGAGCCCAGGGACTCTTCAGAACATTGTGGGGAGGGTGTCCACCATGAGGGCTGCACCCAAGACACTGAAGAACACAAGAACTGTTTGTCTTTGTCTAAACACAGAAAGGATGCTCTTCCTCTCCTAAGAGCGTGGGGATGGGGGGGGGGGGGGAATCAGCAGAAAGAAGATAATTTAAGAACCAATCTATCTAAGCTGTCTTAGACTGTAAAGCCCAAGCTTACCAAAGCAATAGCAACAGAAGGAAGCATGCAAAAACAAGAAAACTCGTGTAGATGGGCCTTTCCTAGTAGAAATGAAGAACAGAGTTTGAGTTTATCTCACTAAATTCAAGAAAAGGAAAAACAGCCATAGGATGCAGCCTGGCAAAGTGAGCAGGTCATGTGGAAACACAGAACCAAAACTGACCCTCCCCTTGGGTCTCCAGATCCTGGAGCACATGGACAGTTACTCATAAGCCCCAAACAGCTG